AGAAAGATGAATTTGAGTCGGACATGGACGATGAACTGAATGAATGCTTTGTTGCGCATGCATCTCAAATGTTCCGATCATCAGCCAGCCGCAGTGATGGTCCACCGAGGGCCCTAAAAAGTACTTTTATTGCTTGCTGATAAAATGCTGCCACCGTCTGGGCACCGATGTGTTTTTAGACACTGTTTTTGATGTGTTAGAGACCTTTTGGACAGTTCACGATGTTGCAGTTCTGTTTGATCTAGTGCTCACCGTACGGGGCTTCGCATTCGATTGAATAGCAACCAATTTCAAATGCCCGAGTAGTTGTGGTAACAGTAAGAAATAGTGGACCGAAACATTTCTTACCTATTACAAATATTTCCTTAGACACCTTTCCCATTTTATTATCCTTTTCCTCCTTTTCTTTGTTTTCTTTTTTTTTTTTTTTTTGATATTTTCTCTTCAACCTTTAATACTGATGCATTGAGGTACTAGATTGGGGGTGCACCTTGCTTGCCTCACCTTACTTCCAGTCTCTTTTACGACACTGAAGGTTTCACAAATCTGCTCCTTCACTTATATCTCTTTTTTTCTTTCGTTTCTCCATCTTGCGAATTAGTTACATGACCATTCAAAAAAATGGCGGTTAGGAGGCTGTACTGATGATTCCCGCTCCTGCTCGCATGCGTATGGTTCGGTCTGTGTATACAGCTAAGGGATGAAACACAGACTGCATCATAAAATGCCTTCATATGCATGACATTCACGTGAAATCCTTCCATTGTTCTATTTCACAAACCAGCCCGACATGGAGGGCAGTTCGTGTAAAACAACAAGGTTTATTCGCTAAAACGCATCTGAGCTTTGAAATAGGTGAGCTGGGCGCAGTGAAATGTTATTCTGCGTAGTGATCACGTGAATGGTATTTGCATGCTTAAACCGCCCCAGCCGAGGAGGATATTTTAATTTTAATTACAAAAATTTACATTAATTTACATATGCACCAAAGAAAAAAAAATGTATTTCCTGCCTCTTGAAAATCAGAACTTCTGTATTTTGTCTCGATAAGAAGCGGACTTTGGATTTTACAAGTATTTTTTAAAAAAATTTGAAGGCAAAAAAATCGAAAATCAAAAAAAAAAAACCAAAAATTTCAAAAATCCTTCCGATACTTTTTTTTTGTGACAATGCTAATAACCTTTACAGTCAAACATACAACTGAGGATGATGAAATGCCGGCGCTGGTTAGCGATACTGATGAGGATGTTGCTGAACCACAAACAGTTGATGCAAAAAAGGAGCAACTGCAGCAGGATCACTCGATGGAAGTAGGTAAGTGTAGCAGCAACAAATGCTCTAAATTTGTGCGAAAAAAAAAGATGAAAAGTGAACTTAGGGACGATTGGGATCGAAACTGAGCTCGGAGAAACATTAAAGTTTTAGTACTGCTGTTAAGAATTTGTTCAGTGGGTGGTAAGACTGAATATTTAAATAATAAAATAAAATATTTTAATGTTAAGAAGAAGAAATTAATAAAATTTTAAATGTGTTGAGAATTATTTTTAATGGTAAGAAATGTTTTGGTGTCCATTAAGAGTCGTATACATTTCTTACCATTACCACAATTGGACCACGCCGTCAGTACGACTTCGATTGTGGTAATTAGCATGAATTTCATTTTAATTTAAAAAAATGGGTTATTGAAAAGAGATAGGTGTAGTAATAATAAAAGTTAAGTGTATAAGAGAGAAAAAAAGTTGACATAAAATTTAAAGTTAACTAAGAGAGTTTGTGATCCAATTGGATAGAACTTTGAACTGGTTTTTGTTTATGCGCGAGTTGTAATGAAACAACAGATGCAGCTAATTTTAGCTTGATATTTAGATCGTACTTTATCATCGACAAGCAGCAGGACTTCATCCGAAAAGGCCCGAAAATCGGTAATTGCACTTTTTTGTCGCCCTTGGTTTGCGTCCCTTGATCGGCTTCTAGAAGTAGGTAGGAAATGAGTGCATGTTCTTAGACATATAAAAACTGAAAGTGGAAAATTGTTTCATAGGCGCTCTTTTGGTATTTTCGCTGCTGGTACACACACACGCACACACGCATACACACACACACTCGCATCTCCATATTTCTTGTACTGGACCGTTTTTATCCACAAATCTATCCTTCGTTAGGCTCTCGTTTGGATCCTCGTATCTCACCGGAGCTATTGCCAGTTGCATGGATAATACCATTCTGCAAATTACTTATATTCCTTGTTTTGCAAGGTCACTGCATGTGTTAGATCCTCACGTGGTCTTTGATTGCAACAGCGGAAGACAGCGAAGAGTACCAGCACTTTATTATCCAACAAAAACTTCACTTCAAATAAAACGACGAGCCGGGGCGCCGCACAAGCTATTGAGCAGAAGGGGAACGCTAGTCGTGTCGAGGCGGCCAGTTAGTAGAGTTAGTTGTGACGCGACGTGGCAGACCAGTGACGCGCATTGATTCCAAGACTGAGAACCTGGGTTTTCGGAAGAGGTTTATATAGGAAAAATTAATGGAGGAAAAAGGAGGACAAGGTAGTTAGTGAGTGAGAAAGTATTTAGAATTTGATGGAACTGTTAGAAATTAGTGAGTGGAGGGAACTAGGTCGAAGTGTTAAGAATTAGTGAGAGGAGGAAAATGGGTTGAATTATAGGGGTACGCATATTTTGTGCAACACTCTTTTAATAAATTAACAAAGTGATGTAAATTGTTTGCACACATACTCTTCTCATCACTCATTTCGTGTCATTCGTGAAGGTAGTTTAAAACTGACACAAAAAAACACTGCTGTTTTGATCAAAAAGCGTTGTTGCGAATGGTAGGAATGCTTACGGGTGTTGCACAGAGGTCGAAAGGCAGTGAGCAAAGCTGAAACTGACGGAAGGGCACCACCAGGAGTGGAGCTTGTGGCTTAATTTGACTCAACACGGGAAAACTCACCTGGCTCGGGCACCGGGAAGATTGATAGATTGAGAGCTCTTTCTTGATTCGGTTTGAGAAGATAAATAATTGGCCAACGCAGGGCTGCCCGTGCGAAGATGCGTTTTTTGCATAGTTCCTCTCAGTTTTTGTGACTACCGGCACCGGTTTTCCGGGCAGATGCTTCTAGCTAAACAAATTAAAACTGGCCGTCATTC